TTTATTTACAAAATTAAAAAAAAAAATTTTTAATTAAAAACTTTTATTCTAAACAGTCATGAGCAATAAAATAAATGTTAAAATTGTTTAAAATGTGACTAAGTCGACAGTGTTAGAGCTTAAATAAGGTTTGTGAATATGATGTGGTGCTCAACTTGGATATTTGAAGTGGGTGTGTCATATACGTTTCGTTGCTTCTAATAATGGATTTTACTAAACAGCGAATCAAAGTGTTTAACACAAAAAAAAAAAAATAATAATATTGATAACTTATTATGTAAACATGAAATAATAATTCTAAAATGTATTAGTGACTAAGTGACTAAAGGACTACATATATTTTCAATCTTAAAGAGAGCATTTACTTGTAAAGTGGTGAGAACAGCACATATGAAAAATCGCTGAATGTCCTCCACTTCTCTGGACCCATTTAATCAAAACAAAAGCTTTATGTATAACTACAACTTTTTTAGAAAAAAAAAAAAAATTAAAAATATCATATCTATCTTTTACAAATAATAAAATTAAACGAGTAAAAAAGTAAATCTGAAATAAATCAAATATAGAATACACTACTCAATACATATGCAGGAAAAGGATGTGCTTAGGCCGTTGTGGAATATTTGAGATGTCCTGATTACGAATTTGAGTTCAAAAAATTTTCATCACTTAAGGGGTTACATGGGTTCCCTCATGTAAAAAACAGCCTTTTCACCAATTTCTTCTCTTACAAAAAATWAAATATTTTATTAGCATTTTTTATTGTTACAAAATTACACTATTAACAAAGAAATTCTGAATTTTTTGGAAAAAAATATTTTAAATTCGGCCCTTGCGGGACCATTTTCAGTGAACCTTCGACCYTCGGAAAAAATTCGTTCACGAGTTGGCAGGATAACTCCTTACAATATCATCTAAAGTGAAAAAATGCGTATTTTAGCTAACATCTTAACTTAGAACATTGACGAAGCAAAAAAAAAAAAAACTGAAAATTCTCAATTTTTATAGAAAAAAATACAAAATATCAGTGAAAGTGTCTTGAAATTTTTTTCAAATAGTGGCAATCGAAAAAAACTTACGTCCGAGTCTTTAAGAATCGTATGTATCTCAAAGACCAGTTTAAAATTTCATGAAGATCGGTAGAGTAGTTCTCAAAAAATCTTGCTAACCGACTTCAAAAACACAGTTGCGAGAATAACGCGTTTAAAGACGAGGCACTTAACTCAGCTAGCCGCGAGAGCGCAAGTTGTCAAGGGTGTATTGCCGAAATGATTACTCTGATCAACTTGAAAATTTAGGACAATATTCTAGAGGTGTTGTAGAATAGCCATGTAGCTATACAAAAATTCATTTTGTTAAACCCGTAAACCCATAAAATTAGCAAGGAAGGCCTCTCACAGTGGAAAAAATACTAAGGATTAAAGCCGTGTTAATATTTTCAAATACATAAGGATTGTTTGCTATAAAAGGATATAAGAATAGTTTTCATCCCATTTTATTCAATCTGAGCACAAATAAGCACCGTTATTAAAAARTACGCTCTATCAATTTTATTAATATGACTCAGATATTGGCCGAGTGTATGAGGGCTAAAGGAAGTTCCAAAGCTTTCAAACATTGTCGAGAGATCGTTGAAAACATCACGTTCTGGGCGACCTTCGACCTCTACAAAAGATTTATTTATTTATTTAAAAGAGAACTAATTATAAATAATTAATCCACTTGTAAGATCTACAATAGATATAATATTAAAAATCGTCAGTGAAGTGTTAGAAAGATTGGCAAGAGAGCTCGACTACTCGACTGCAAGTCCGTTTGAATGATTTTGGTGGATATTTGAGTATGAAACGTATTCTTGCTCGACTCGTCATGATAAAGCTGACATTTTTTCAAAAAGTTCTAATGCCATCTTCATGGAGAGCATTGTACCCGCCGCTGAGACATGGGATTATGACTTTGACATGCAAAAGTGCTTATGAAAAGTGTTTCGAGGTCTGGAAAAATCGTTGGCATTAGTGTACTACATACGAAATAAATAAATAATTAGCGTTTTATTTAAAAATTTTCGCGTACTTTTTTGACAAAACCTGCTTAGAATGTCATAATGTAAGTGCTTAGAATGAATAAAACCGGTTGAAAGTTCGCCCTAGGTCTCACATAACTACCAGGCCTTATATATCGGAAGTACTTTCCTGTCTTCAAAACTTTAAAGTTAAAAGTGTATGAAATGTTTGGTTATCTCCGGAATTGGAATTTCTTTACTTGTTTTAATATTTTTTACTTACATAAACAATCTTATTAATTACGAAATTTCTTCCAAAAACCATTTTCGAAAGAAAATATAATAACAAATTATTTCAACTTATTCACAGGTCGCTCGTGAATACGACAGATATCTCTGCGCATTGAAAATGGATGCGAAAACCAACTCTACAATACTAGAAGTAAAGGAACCGAATGCGCTCTACACAACCGATGTGATAGCGATCACGGCCTATGGCATACAAGCAAATAGTCTCAACGATCCGAACGGCATTTTCCGTAAAAGTGGCAAGAAAATCTTCACATTTACTTGGTTACGTTCCATGGAGTTCAAAGCGTTCTTTTTCATACCCATAATGGTTAAGCTTTTTGGCTTCAAAGTATTTTCCAAGCAGGCCACAATCTTTTTGCGCGACACAATCAATCATGTGATGGAGGAACGCATCAAAAGGGGTAATGTGCGCAACGATCTAATCGACATTTTGGTTAAATTCAAACAAGAGGCCGAAGAAGAACTGAAAGAAGGCAAGAAACCGTTCATTTTGGAGAAAGACGCTTTGGCGGCGCAAGCGGCTATTTTCTTTTCGGCTGGCTTCGAAACGTCATCGTCCACAATGTCATTCGCTATGTTCGAAATGGCGCAAAATCCGGAAGTGCAAAGACGTTTGCGTGAAGAACTACTCGAGGCATACAAGAGTAATGATGGCAAAATAACCTACGAGTTGATTATGGGTCTGAAGTATATGGATAATGTAGTGAAGGAGGTGTTACGCCATTATCCACCACTACCATTCCTCGATCGCGTATGCACACCAAAAGCTGATGAAAAAGGTTATTCGCTGAACGCCTTTGGTTTGGACTTTACAGTACCGCACAATATGCCTGTCTATATACCGAGTCAAGCTTTACACATGGATCCAAAGGTTAGTTTATGCAACGCACTATGTTACTTTTGTTGTTCATTATTCCTTTTTCATTGCTGCAGTACTTCAAAGATCCCGAAACGTTTAATCCTGATCGTTTTCTACCCGAAAACAAACACGAAAATAATATGAATGCCTATATGCCTTTCGGCATCGGACCTCATAACTGTATTGGTGAGCGCTTCGCAATGATCCAAACAAAGCTGGGGCTACTCTACTTCTATCGGAATCATTATGTAACGCCCTGTGAAATCACACCGAGGAAACTGCATTTGAATCCTCGTGCCATCATATTACAGTCCTCTGGTGGCATAAATTTGAAAGTCGTGCGTGATCCATTGTTTTAGAGATGAAGTGGTTGATGAGGCTGTTAATATAGCATTATATACTATACTTCACATACTTCAAAGAAGATACATATAGTAGATGTTGTGTCTAACATATGTAGAGATTAAGCTGTAGAATAACGGTATTTGAAGTAAGTATTTAAGCTTTTCGAAGACAATATCTCATTGTTTTTATTTTTTTTTAAGTACTTGTTTTATTTGTAGATAATATAAATAATCAAAATAAAAAGTATGCCTATATATTATATGTACTAAACATACTAACAATAATTTCGATTCAAATGTCTCTGAAAATAAAATTGTCCAACTGATGTTAATGGTGTCTAAAAATATTTTTGACAGATTGCTCAGTTCCAGTCGAGTTTAGGAGCCCTTACTCTATTGAATCCAGAATTGTTTGGAAGAACGGATTTTAGAGGAACACCTGCTTTTTGTTGTTTTAACGGTTATTTAGTCCCTGTTGGGGTGGTAAGGTTCAGATAAGTTGTCATGGGGTCGTACCATAGGGAGATAGGTGTCAGATTTGTAAGATTAGCAGAGCATGCAAAGAGGTGGTAAGAGACATAAGGGGACTCGTTGCAAGCTGTCGTATCAGAACGCAGCTGCGTTACTCGATTCTTGCGGCCACTTGAACAATGGGTGGTGATTTGGCGCCAAGTACGACATTCACTGAGAGGGAGTCGGTGAAGGTGTTCATGGCTCTATTGTGAATGGCGGTAAGTGCGTGTCTGAAGTTAGTTGCGTCCGAAGTCTGGTCGGCGTATTGTCTTATATCGTCGACGTAGTTGAGGAAGTTGGAAGATGAGAATAATTTCTACGAAAACATGCCAGCAGAAACTGCTTGGAGAGGAGTTACTTAACTGGGTGTCCGGAGTCTCATGTTCTGAATTTTCTGAAGCTTCCTCGTCTGCGTTTCACTGCGTCCAAGCAACCGTATTGGATTATCACAGATGTATGTTGCCAACAACGTTGTTCTTAATTTCCCCAGCCGGCTAACGACTATTGAATTTTGTTGCGGCTCTGGACTTTTGGCAATAATCATGGTTGTGTGAGGATTGAAGGAGCACACGATGTCGAGTGTCGAAACTAAAATCTTAGGGTTATTGATGGGATAACAAGGATCACCTGGTGTAAGATTTTGGTATTCAGAAAGGTAAGGAGTGTAATAGATTGTTTTTTTGGGGTGCTAGACTTCGAAATATTCTATTTATTGAGAAAAACTGAACTTAGCAGAAATCTTCTTCAACTTTTTCTTCCAGCCAAGCACCGAATTCTTTGATAAATGGAGAGTAGATTCATGGATTATCTATGCCGGAAAAACATCAGACCTCAAAAGAGTGATGAACGTCTGCTAAATATCATGGATATATTTAGAGCACGACGAAGATGCTTCCAGTAGATAACTTTAAAGCCTATCTTATAGTATGGTATTTCTTGTGATCTGGTCTGATTCTCACATGTAAATGGTGAACTTTAAATCTGGCAATAATAGCGAGTGATCCAAGTAGATGTATAGTACTTCTTTCAATAGCCGTTTTTGACAGATTGGACATGAGTTGCGTCAAGCTGTTGCTATGTTTGTTCCGTTATGGTCAACATAATCGACCTACTGAACGAGATAGCTTCGATCTACGGGCTCCTGAAAAGTTCAAAGAAGATCTGATGTTTTCAAGCCAAATTTTGTTCAGCGATAAAGCCCATTTCTGGCTCAATGGGTATGTAAGCAAACAAAATTGCCGCACTTGGGATGAAAAGCAACCTGAAGCAAATCAAGAGCTGCCATTTCATCCAGCAGAAGCAACGGTTTGTTGGCCGGTGAAATCATCGGTTCATATTTCTTTAAAAATATTGCCGGTGAGAATATAACCGTGAATGGAGACCGTGATCGTCCCGTAATAATCCGTTATTTAATGACTGAAACTGAAGCTCGTGATCTCGGCGACATTTTTTTCAACAAGATGGCGCCACTTCCCACACATCGCATTAATCAATAGATCTCTTTAGAGAACACTTCAATGAGCAGATAATTTCAAGTTTTGAACCGATCGATTGGCCAGCAAGATATTGTGATATCACACCGTTAGATTTTTTTTCTGCAGGGATACATACATATGTAAAGTCTAAAAAAAGTAAAGTCGGTTTTGGCCAAGGAACAAAACATCACACGTTTCGTGCGGCAGTGGAAATGCTCGAACAAGTTATCTAAAATGGGACTCAACGGATGAACCATCCGAGACGTAGCCGCGGCTAACATTTGAAAGAGATATTCTTCAAAAATGAAATGCTAAAAAATGTATTGATAATAAACATTCCCAACTTGAAATTTTAAGCTTCTGTGTTTTCTCTTTAATTGGATCATTCTTTATATATTTAATAAACCCTCACAGCCGATTCACGATCTGGAGTTGATTAAAAAAAATTTTGATTATGGATTTTAATTATTTCTTTAGCTCCACATCCCGATTCGTTGAGTTCGGATAACTTGTTCTTCGCTAAGAAGCCATGATAGTAGAATATTAGCGTCAAGTTGCCTGTAGTTTTAACTAGTGGCAAGAATTCTTAAATTGACATATTTCAATAACATTTTATCTTTTTATTAAAATAGTGGTAAATGGGTGGCAATCTCACCTCTAAGCCTTTATAAATTTTCCTAGTCTTTAAATATTAGAAAATAGAGCATTTTACTCATCTTGAACAAACATCAAGTATAGTCCACCTTTTGCTTCTAGCATAAATCTCTTCGGATCAAACCGAATTTCTTTCGTTGTTTTCGCACACACTTCCACACGATGCCGCTTTAAGATATAGAGTAAACCGAGCTTGACTTGCAGCATACCAAGCCGACTGCCAATACAACCATGTGGTCCGGCGCCGAATGGTAAATAAGTCATTGGTTTGATGTTGTGCAGTTTCTCTTGGGAAAATCTTTGTGGGTCGTAAAGTTGTGGATTGGGCCAGAACTAGAAAAAATATAAGAAGAATTATTGCGACTAAACTCCAACGTGCAAATTATGTTTCTGGAGCAATAAATACTTTAAGTTATGAGAATATTCGGTTTCAAATTCTAATATACGTACGGAAACGTGTACACATTCATATATATTATATATTATAGAAAAAGTTTTTTACCGTATTTTGAGTTTTGCAGAACTTTTATAGTTGAATTTATACAAATCTTACCTTTGGATCACTATGTAAGCCCAAAATGGAAATATAGGCCGGCACATCTCTGGGTATGCGCAAATACTTCTTTCCTTTGTCAAACCACAACGTCTGCTGCTCGCCATTCGGCAAACACTCACGATTAATAAAGGGTGCTGTCGGATAGAGACGTAATCCTTCGGCGACCACCATATGCATGTACGGCATATGCAATAACTGTTTGTAACTTACACCTCCATTAGATGGAACTCGAAAACTTGTAGCTATTTCGGCTTTTAATTTACGCTGAATTGCCGGTTGCTTTGCCAATTCGTATAAGATGAGCGCGATCAATGAAGAGGACGTCTCAAAGCCCGCCAATAGAAAAATACCCACTTGTGCGGCGATAAAGTCCGGATGACACAGCCAAGCACCGTAAGGTTCTGAATCGCTSAGATGCTGTTGCATGTTCAACAACAAATCGATAAGGTCGCCGCCATCCGGCTTATGCTTGTTCACTTTCAAGCGTTCCTCCACTAAACGGCGTAAATAGTCGGCGTATTTGCGTGTGAAAACTTTCGATTTAAGCGTATGCACCCATTTCGGTAGAAAGAATATTGCAAAGAAATCGATAATCTTACGCAAACTGGGTTGGAAGAGATCTTCGCACTGTGTGCGCATCTCGCAGCCATCATTGCGTAGACCTGCCGCATCGATGYTATACAATAGCGCAGCTGTGAGGTCTGTTGTGTAGAGTGCACACATTTCTTTCACCTCAATGACGGCAGCGACCCCGACACTGTGTTCGGACGCTTCTTGTTTTTTTATCTTACGTGTGATATATACATCTAATAGTTCGGCGTAGGTAATCAGTTTTGGATACATTACACTTTTGATATGTCCACTAGTGAAAAGTTTCGAAATCTCGCGTCGACTCTTGCGCCATATCGCATATTTGGCCAAAGGTAGCGTTAAAGCGCCCATGGGATCACTATGTAGATCGGCAGCCTCATAGCGATTGCGAAAACTAATAAACTGTTTTGTGAGTAACTGTTCGATCAATTGCGGTTCGCGTATAAGCAGTGCGGGCGTGTGTAGTATAAAGAAACCGAAAAATGGTGCCGATTGGAAGTTTGGCTCTTCGTAGAGCCCGCGAAAGTAGTCACCGAAAGAAGTACGTAACAATAGTAGTGATTTTAAATTTCCCAAAAGCGGTGTGGGCTCGAGATATGGTATTTTACGACGATGCCAATAACTGTAACGGCGTTGAAACCAAAGTTGTATTAAGGTCATAGTAACAAACATGAGCGCTATTGTGATCAGCAGTTCGTAGCCGTAGACCGACATGACATTTGTTGAGCTCTGAAAAATCAATTAAAGCAGAACGTGAAATATTCAATGCGGTGTTGCTAAATGCTCTGTTAGCGATGTTCAAATAACTACGATAAGTCTTGATTTTTGTTCTGTATTGTCCTGTTGACTCCCAAGACTATCCTAACACTTAAAGTTTAAACGTCTTATATATTAAATATTAAGAAACCTCATTTCAAGTCCCACTTAACGTCCATAGAATACACTTATGAATCATGAAACTTAATGGGATTGTACGGCCCACAGCTTCTCTGGCAGCATCAAAAAGGGTTCTCTATCTCTTCTTACGTGAAGGATATCAATGCAATCTTTATTGAAGTAAATAAACATAATCAAAGAAGAGTATTTCCTTTTATATCAGATTTTTGCAAATATAAATTCGATATTTGTTTAAATTTATTGTCGTCTCACAAACAATACAACTCAATTCCTCGCGGTCGGATCAAATTGTTCACTCATATCCTTCCGTTTCTTTTCGATGTCATAAAACGATGCGCTTCGAGTGTCAAAACTAAAGTCTTTGTTGGATGCTGCACCAAAAACTCATGTGGTTCGAAAATTTACTACTTTTATTACTCCTCATTCCACTCAACCATTGAGTGTAACGAAACACAGTCTCTATGATGGTAAGAAAGAGCTGTGGCCGCTCTACTAAACAAATGGGATTGCGTCTACCGTCTCTCGATTGGCAATGCACCGCGCCGATGGAGGATGACGGTAACTCGTTGGAACTACTTCACAAATATGTTTGCCACAGGGTATGCCAGCTTACATACCAGTTTATGGCCTACATATAAGTCCGAAG